AGGGGAAATGCGGAGATATTTTATTCTTTAATAAATATAGTTTGACTGGAGTTCAGAGGAAAAAGCCAGCCACAACACAGAAGTCATGCAATGTTAGCACATACCTTTAATTCTGTCGCTTGGCAGGCAGGATCTCTGTGTGTTCAAGGCCACACTGGAAACAGAGCCAGGTGTGGTGGCACATGCCTTGAATTCCAACACTAGTCAACCATGGAGATCTAGAGGTCTATATAGTCAGACAGGAAGTGACAGAGCTGTGTAGGAAGAGGAAATGATATAGCTGAATAAAGAGAGCAAATCAGAAGGCAGAACAGCAAGGCATATAGACATGGGTAGACAGGAAGTCACAGCATTTGGAAGCTGCAGAGTTGGTGAAGTAAGGTTAGCAGGTGGCTCTCCCTACTTCCCTGATCTCGCTAAGGCTTTCAGCTCTATATTTAGCTCCGTGTTTCTTATTTAATAAGAGCATTTAGAAATTTGTCTACACATTTGCATATTATTTTTACTAGTATTAGTCAACATTTCCTTGATGTTTGAATTATTGAATAGTTATCCAATTTCATATAATAGAAGGTTATGAGATATTTGTTTGATTTTGACCTTGTTATTTATACCTATATTTTCATCTTAAAGATTCCAAACATTTGAAAAGTAAAAAAATCTTTAGACTTCCTTTTCTTAAAATAACTTATTTTATTGGTTCAAAACCTGTGGTGATATATTGTGTACCCCAATAAAGCTTACCTGGAGATCAGAGAACAGAGCCAGCCACTAAATTAGACATAGAGGCCATGCAGTGGTGGCACACACCTTTAATCCTATCACTCAGGAGGCCGAGATCTGTCTGGGTCTCTGTGAGTTCAAGGCCACACTGGGCTACATGAAAGAAACAGAACCAGCCAGTGGTGACACACACCTTTAATCCCAGGAAGTAATATGGCAGGACACAGAAAGATATATAAGGTGTGGGGAAACAGGAACTCGCTCTCTTTAGACTGAGGATTTCATAGAGATAAGCTAGTGGCTGGCTGTTCTGCTTCTCTGATCCTTCAGCTTTCACCCCAATATCTGGCTCTGGGTTCTTTTTTATAAGACCTTTTATGATTCTTGTTTTATGTGGCACCAGCATTTGTGGCACAATTTCATGAAAAAACCGCTTGCCTGTGGCCTTGCAGGCCCCAGCTCAGTCCTGAACTGAACGTGACTGGAGTTTCCACCCAACATGAGCTGGAGTCCATAACCAGCTGGATCCAGATGGCTGGATCTTTTTCCTCTCTTCTGGTGGGTTGTAAGATCTCCCTGGATCCCCATCTTGGGCTGTGACCATACTAGGTAGCTACCTTGAAACCCACTTGGGCTTCTATTGTTCTACAAAGTGTGAAGAGTTGGTGAGTCAATTAAGATTTCTTAAAGGGAGGAATTACTTAAAAGAGAATTGTTTTCCCACATTAAAAAATGGGAAACATTTTTACAATGGAGAGTGTTTCATCTCTATTTCACAATACAATTGACATTCTAAAAAATGGAACAATTAGATAAGAGGACAATTAATCTTGATGGGATAGAGATAATGTCAATTATAAATATTATTGTTTGATTAGTTTCATTTTATCATTAAAATAATGGTTAATATGAGTGCTAAGATAAAAGTTTTAAAAAAAAACTTGTTAAAAACAGATCATAGAGAAATTCAGACCCAGACAGAGGAATTTAAAAGTGAACCAGTCTCAGCACTGCATTACATGGTTACAGATAAAGAGCCTAAGGCATTCAAAAGCCAAAATTAATCTATCCAGTAACCTTATAGGAAATGCCAAATGCTCAAGGCTGTGTAAGAGCTGAGTAGACTCCTATGCAAATGTCAGATTTGAAGAGATTAAAAGAAGATATAGTGTCATATGGTATGCATTCTCCATTCATGAAACAAATGTTAAACTTGTGGTCAACTTGTAATAGAATTATCCCTCAAGACTGGATTGCTAATGTAGAAAGGCAATCTCTATATAATGACCACACCCTGGCTTTATGTCAAATGGCAGAATTGAATGCTTGGGACAGAATCGAAGAAGCAATAAAGAAAATTCAGTCATTTACAAAAGTTATACAGGGCCCAAAGAAACCTTCAGATTTCTTACAAAGGCTGTCTTCAGCAGTAAATAGATTGATACCAAATTCAGAAGCTAAAAGGATAATAATTGAATCTCTGGCTTTTGAAAATGCTAATGCATAATGAAAAAGGGTAATTAGGCCATCAAATGCAAGATCAGTACCATTGGAGGAATGAATCCGAGATAAGGTGAATATTGAATCTCATGACCACAATGATACTTGGATAGGAGAGGTGATTTCCAGAGGTTTGAAGAAAACTAGCAATGTCATATGTTTCAACTGTGGTAAATAAGGTCACCTAAACAGGGACTATAAACAGGGCATTGCTAAAAACAGTGGGTTTTTTTCAAGAAACAATGGCAACAAAACTCCCATCCTTTCTGGATTATGCAGAAGGTGTGGCAAAGGCAAACATTGGACTAAAGAATGTAGATCAACAAGGGACAGACAAGGTAATCCTTTGCCTTTAACTTTGGGAACCTCCTGAGGGGTCTCTCCCAGGGCCCCATAACAAATTCAGTTTAGTCCTTTCTTACCATCATGGGAGAAAACCCTTCACAGAGCAAATAAAGAATCCAGTGCCTATTATAAGAAAAACATACTGTTCAGAGTGATAGAACAGCTATAGAAGAATGAACAAAAAATTTGGGAGAAAACATAAAGTGAAATTTTTGGCAAACTTTGTAAATGAACAAAGACCAAAGTTAAAATATGAGTCAATGACATTCTCATTGAAGTTCTTGTAGACACTGGTGTGGGTGTAACAATAATTGCACCAGAATCTTGTCACCCATATTATTCTTTTCAGGAGGCAAATGTTCAGCTTTTAGAGATTGGAACATTATTTCAAGTGAAACAGCATGAGATGAGTTGAATGTCAGGGCCAAAAGGACAGAAAGGAAAATTAAAGCCATATGTGGCTAAAATAGCAATGATCAATGGGGGCATGATTTATTACAATGGAATGTGCATATTAACATTCCTCCAGTCTCAGAAACAAACCATAAACTAACATATGTTTCTGAGAAAAATATTAGAAGGTATTAAAAGGAACAGTCACTGACGACCATCCAGATTGTACAAGAACAGGGCACAACAGCTGCTGATCTTTCAAAGACACCAACAGCCCTACTTTTAAAATGGTTAACAGACTAGCCTGTATGGGTTCAGCAATGGCCTTTCACAAAAAGGAAACTGCAGGTCTTAGAACAGCTGGTACAAGAGCAGATAAATGATAAGCATACTGAAGAATCAACCGGCCCTTGGAATTCTCCTGTGTTTGTTATTAAAAAGAAATCTGGTAAGTGGAGAATGGTAACAGATCTAAGAGGTATTAACAGGGTAATTCAGCCAATGGGCTCTCTACAATCTGGAATTCTTTTGCCTACTCTGTTACCTAAAAAAAAAAAAAAAAAAAAAAAAAAAATGGCCTCTTATAGTTATCAATTTAAAAGACTGTTTCTTCTCAATACCTTTACCAAAACAACAACAACAAAAAAGACAGCAAAGGTTTGCCTTCACAGTGCCTAATTATAATAATTCTCACCCATTTAAGAGATATCAATGGAGGGTTCTCTCACAGGGAATGTCAAATAACCCAAACCTGTGCCAATATTTTGTATGACAGCCATTGGAATTAATGTATAAACTATTTCCCAAATCTACACTTTATCATTACATGGATGATATTTTACTAGCTGATTCAAATGCAGATAGCTAGGAAAGAATGAAGAAGTATAGGAAATTTTGCCTTGTTGGGGATTAGAAATTGCCCCTGAAAAGATACAAAGAGGAGATTCTATTAATTATTTAGGATATAAAATATGTCTACAAAAAATTAGACCCCCAAAAGGTGCAAATTATGAGAGATTGATTTCAGATTCTTAATGATTTTCAAAGATTATTGGGAGACATTTCCAATCTATGGACCACTATTGGAGTAAAAAATGATGAACTGAGTGGTTTGTTCAACACCTTAGAGAGTGACAAGGACTTAAATAGTCCAAGAGAATTATCAGCTGAAGCTGAGAAAGAAGGCTTTGGTGGAAAATAAAATAAAGGAACACTTGTGGATCATGTAGAACCAAAGTTTGATTGCATTTTGGTTATTTTACCCTCTAGACATTCTCCTACAGAAAACTGTAATGCAGAGGGAAGATATTACATTGCAATGAATATTTCTATCAATTAAACAGAATATAAAATTAAAAACTTATGTGGAAATGATCTTTGAGATAATTTTAAAAGAAAAATTGAGACTTTGCCAATTAGCAGAAATAGGCCCAAGCAGAAATTTTAGGACCTTTAATTAATGATGAAATTGACAGATTATGGGCAGAAAGTGAACCTTGGTAAACAGCTTGCAGGAATTTTCTGGGAGAGATTAACAGCAAATCTCCCAAAAGTGATAGAAATTCAACTTATAAAGATAGCTAACTGGATCTTGCCTCACATTGTATGGGAAACACAAACAAAAGCCCGTTATATGAATGGTAGATGTATTGAAATATAAAAATAAGTGTTAATACTCTTCCCTTTATACTGGAACTACATCTTGACTAGCCAAGGTACACTGAAAACACTCAGTTTAAATCCATTTTAAATACTCAATTTCTATTAATTGGAGTAAGCCTACATGGGACATTAGAATTGTTGCTTGGTTACCTTGGCTGAATAAGAACTATGGTGAGTTACTGCTGCCCATATTCATAGTGTCAAATTATACATGGAGAGCTCAGGAATAAAGATAAAATCATAGCAGTAGTTGATGAATAATTATTACCTTTTCACTGTCATATAGTTAACAAGTCATGTCCATCCACTGTAAATTAGAAAGTCTTTAAAGATATTAAATGGCAACTCAACACTATTACCTCTAAAGATAAATACAGTGGGTTTTAAAAATAAATTTTATTATATTTATTATTAATTTTACATTATTAATTTAGCCACAAAGTATGTACATGTTCATTACCTGTTTATCAGTTATACAGAGTATTTATATGTTTATGTCAGTGATAGAACCCTATATCCAGTTAAATTTTAATTCCTTTTTTAACTGCCTGAATATGTCACTGTGCCAAATTAACATATTCAGAAATTCACACACAAAATGATTCTTAGATTTGTTTATTAAAACAAAGTAGTATTTAGCAATTATTTATATTCATTGGTAATATTAAGTATGACAGTTTGATTATTACATATTTGTGAGATAAATGCTAATTTGAAGATGAAACAATATGACTTTTGTCCATCAATAATCAGAGTCTTAGATCAAAATGTATTAAGGAAGATTGGAGAGATTTGAAAAGTGGTGGATAGAAACAGACACTGAAGTGATTGCATATATTTTATTAGCATTGATTATTGTGCTAACACAGCCCATTCTGCATTAGGAGTTTTGAGTGAACTACTTTGCATTTGAGGCAGTTTTCTCTCAGGCTCCAATTTTTTCACCATATATCAATACAAGTTTATACTCATAAGAAGAAGTGAGTTAAACAATGCTTCAAATATAAATTTTTGAAACTACATTATTAATATTCATGCACATTTCTAAACAAAGACTCATTTATCCGCTAAACCAATAATGTGATTTTGAGCAACTGGGATAACTGATGTGACCATCAACGCACTTTGTACGGAGTGAAGGTGATGTTTTTATCTTTTTATATCCATATTTACACTGGAATTCAACCTCATCCCCTGATGGAGAATATAGCTTTTGCCTTTCTTTCCATCTTAAAGTTATGTTATGTCTTTCCATGATTTCTTCTCGTATTACACATGCATCTGAAAGAAAAATTACCAAACATTTGTTAATACATAAACCTACAGAGACTCAGCTTTCAAGTATTATTTCTCAAAGTTTGTAAAAACCTGTATTAAACCAGGACATCTAATTAGTTCATATTAAATAGCAAATGACATCAAAACAATGTTTTAATGTGATAGTTACATTTCAAAAAAGATTTCTAACACCGATGAAACAAGACACTTGGATTTCAGGACATTTGTGGTTGTTTGCACTGATTTAGGTATTGGGCCAAGGTAAAAAATTTGAACCTTGACATATATATGATATTCGGATGCAATGTTCAGTGAGATAAGTAAACTTACAAATACTATTATTAGTAGCCAAATCATAACCACCTTCATAATGTTTATTATTCACTCACAAGATTGTAACTATGAATAGTGATTATTGTATCATAGACTTAATTTTCATAGTTTTACAAATAAATCTATCAAATTCCATTCTGAATAAGTGACTAATCTGCTTGGCAAAACAGCTTCTGCAATCACCACCCTGACCTCTGGCCTTCCTTACACTTCTAGAAAACCAAGAGGACATAATGTCCAAGTTCGTGTTATCTCCAACCAATTCATTTAGTGCTGCCATCCTGCCCCACAACACATCTGATCATACTCTACTGTAAAGGCTGGGACTAAGTGCTACAGAGTGGGTGGCAAATTCCCATAACCGCATCTCCCATTGCAGCATCTGGTGTCATGCCATTGTCTAGTCAGAGGAGAATCCTACTGACCTCTTGCTGCTGAATAACCCTTGCAATCTGCCAATTACAGTTTCTGAGAAAACCTGCATCATCTTCTATGAGCTACCACACCCATTGTAGGAGTTGACACAGTGAGCCACCTGTGCCCTGAGCTGTCTCTATCACCCCACGTGGGCTGATAAGTGTCTCACTTTCAGTATAATTCACAGAAACAGTGGTGCACATTGTGTCCAAACGTGTTCATTAAAGGCAAATAACCCATAGGTGCCACATGGAAGTCACTCCTCCACTGTAAGCCAAGATACATCTCCAGTAAAGAGCTTTTTACTAAGAAAGTCACCATAAATATAGTGTATAGAAAATTGATCCAGCAGATGTGAAAAAAACACAAGAAATATGAAAAAATGGAAGACAACAAGATTCTTCCAAAGTTGCATTGCTGCTCCAGTAACAGACTCCAAATGTACTGACACGAATCAAAGATCAGTTGGAGAGTTTTTTAAAAATCATTTTTAAAACACAATTATTTTCAAAGGAACACAGAAAAAATAATTAAAGAAGTGAAAAAAGACAATGGGGAATATCAGTGAAAAAATATGGAAAATATACAATTTGAAACAGATTCAGATGTAAGAATTGGAAATTAACAGCTGTGTAATTTCAATAAAAAGAGGTCTAAAAATGTCATTAGAAGCAAAATCCTGACCATTCCAAATGGCAATTTTAACTCTTTAGCAGTTCAGTGAGATGTATCAACTGGGAGTTAACCAACCAACCAATAACAAAAAAAAGCCTAAAATATTTAAAAACAGAATGAATGCATATCTAACATAGCTGGCTAACAAAATATTCTCTGGAGAGAGCAACACTCAAAAATGAAACATAGCTACTACATGAAAATGAATACATACAGATCACACAAGAACAGAAGATACAAAGATTAAGTATAGAGAAAAGTCAAATATATGTGAAAAAAATCTTTTAAAAATTTATTTCAGAGCTGGGAAATGGTGTTTCATGCCTGTAATCCCAGCTTCCAGGAGGCAGAGACAGGAGGATCTCTGTGATTATGAGGCCAGCCTGGTCTACAGAGTGAGTACCTGGATAGCCAGACTACATAGAGAAACTTTTCTTGAATAAAAACAAAACAAAAATTTGTTTCAGATATTTCAGAATTAGTGTTTTTAAAATAGATATACTATAAAATTAATTTTCAGTTTAATGAAAATTCTAATGCTATGTTCTTATAGGCTTAGAAAAAAATATCAGAAATCTTGCCTACGCACAAAGGAGCTAAAAGCAATGCTAAATAGTAAAAACACTGCTGGAGGGATCCTAATATCAGAACTCAATTTATAATCCAGCACTATAGAGATAAAGATAGACTAATACTGGCGTAAATATACACAGATAGATTAAAGGACAGGAACTGAAGACCAGCTATGACCACCCATTTTGGAGAAAGGATATGAAAACATGTGCAGGAAAGAGAGCCCATTGACAAATGTTGGCTCTGGCAAAACAGGATTTCTAACCATAGAAGAATGAAATCAGACTCTTGTCTTTCGCCTTGAACAAAAATCCATTCAGATCAGATCAGAGACCTTAAATAAGAGCTGAAAAACTGAAAGTTTTAGAATAAAACCTAGGGTTTCCACTTCAAGATACTGGAGGAGGCAAATTTGTGAATAGAACACCAGCAATGCAGAAACTAACACCAAGTATCAACAGGTGGAAAGACTTGAAAACAGAGTTTCTGTACAGCAAAGGACACACTCAGCAGAAAAAAACCCAGCCTACAGACTGGGAGAAAATCTTAACCCTCGACACCTCAGACAAGGGGCTAATACTTAGAATTTACAAAGATTTGGAAAACTTTAAACTGAAGTAAACATTATCGCTCAACAAATGGCCATATGAACTGAATAGGCAATTTATCTTCAAGTTTCTTATAAGGTTTACTTAAGCTTTTAAAAACATTTCACCGGGAATTCTTAGAGATGGTCCACCAGTATCAATTTTTATTGCCTCCCAGAAAAGAAAGGATAATTCAATCCATCTACATTAATCATGTACTATATTACAAAATTGGATGAATGATAAGTGATCATGTTAATAGATACAGAGAAAACATAAGATAAAACTGTGTGTATGTTCAAGATTAAAAGATTGACTGAACAGCTTAAGGATATATAAGAGAGTACAGAAGAATCATAAAACGCCATAAAAGGTATGTACACCTGATATACCTACTGCCACTGCCTTGTTGTTTGTAAAATGCCCTAAAAATTGACTACATGCATCATCAGAGAGCTTTCCTCCAGCACCAGATAGGAACAGACGAAGACACCCACTCTCCACATTATGTAGAAAGAGAGCGTTTAAACCGAAGATCTCCATCAAATCCCTCCTCTTGGAGCTCAGGGAATCCCACAGAAAAGGAGGTGGAAAGATTCTAAGAGTCAGAGGATATAGTGGACACCAAGAAAACAAGATCCTGGGAATCAACTAAGCAAGGTGCGTATGAGCCCACAGAGACTAAAGCAGCAAGCACAGGACCTTCATGGGTCTAAAACAGATCCTCTACATATATATTATAGCTATCAGCTTAGTATATTTATGGGACTCCTAACTATGAGAATGAGCGGGTCTCTAACTCTTTTGCCTGCTCCTGGGACTCCTTTGCTCCCATTAGGTTGTCATGTCCTACATCTGTATCATAGTTTTTGCTTCATCTTTATTGTATTTTATTTTGTCATGTTTGATTTTTATCTCCTAGAAGCCTTTTCTTTTCTAATGAGAGACCCAAAGGGAGTTGATCTGGAGAGGAGGGGATATGGGGAAGAACTGGGAGGAGTAAAGGTAGAGGAAACTCTAATCAGGGTATATTGTATGAAAAGGGTATAATTTTACTGCACATTGCTATTAAACAGAAAGTAAGATGGGAAAACTGTCTCGGTGCCAACCAATTGATGAATTTATAAAGACAATGTGGTATACTCTTATGTGAAATATAGTTCAGACGTTATAGATAATTTTTATTATTTTAGTTAGAAAAGGGCATTGAAGAATATTAAGAGAAATCAGCCCAACACAGGAATACAAGTCCTTTGTGTTCTTTCTCACACAATGGGAAAAACAACTAAAATTCCTCTTGAATGCCTAACTGTGATTAATACAACTTAGATGATTTTTCTAAGGGAAGGGGAGATATATTAGGGGCACTGATTTTAATAATTGCAAGATATATACAGGTGTAGTAATTTGAATAAGAATGGCCTCTGTACTGGTTGATTTTTTGTGTCAACTGGACATGACACAAGCTACAGTCATTAGAGAGGAAGGAGCCACAGTTGAGAAAATGCCTCCATGAGAGCCAGCTGTAAGGCATTTTCTCAACTAGTGATCGATGTGGGGAGGAAACAGGATGTGTGGTGCCATCCCTGGGCTGGCAGTCCTGGATACTATGAGAAAGCAGGCTTAGCAAACCATGAAAAGCAAGCCAGTAATCAGCACCCTTCCATGCCTCCAGGATCCTGTCCAGTTTGAGTTCCTGTGCTGACTTCCTTTGATAATGAGCAACAATATGGAAGTTAAAGCCAAATAAACCCTTTTCTCCCCAACTTGTTTTTGGTCATAGTGTTTCATCACAACAATAGAAACCTTAACTAAGACAGCCTCCATAGGCTTATATATTACTTATTTATCAGGGAATGGTTCTACTGGAAAAGGATTGGGGCTGTAGCCTTGTTGGAGTAGGTGTTGCCTTGTTAAAAGTGTGTCTCTGGGGATAGGCGTTAAGGTTTCAAAAGCCCAAGACAGTCCCAGTGTCTATAGCTTCCTACTGCCTTCAGGGTCAAATATAGACCTCTAGGCTATTTCCCCACCATGTCTGCTGTGTCCCACCATGCTCCCTGCACCTCATGCTGATAAAGGACTATACCTCTGGAACTGTAAGCAATCACCAATTAAATGCTTTTTTATAAGAGTTGCCAGGGTTATGGTGTCGTTTTGAAGCAACAGAGCACTGTTGAGACAATGGGTATGGAAATATCATTCTGGTACCATGTTTTATGGACATAAATACATGTTAGCAAAAACAAAATAATAAAGAATAACATGCATAATTATATTTGCCAATTATTTTTATATAAAAATCTAATAATTTTACTTTCTTCCCAAGCTGATATTTGGCAATGAAACACTAAGCAAAAGAGTACATTAGTTTGTAAGTGTTATTAACAGGAAAATATCCATATCATGAAACTGAATCTCCTATGATCTATAAGAATGAGGTACTTACGTAAACATTTTGGTGGCTCTGACCACTCTCCATTTCTACATGTTATTTTCTTGTTTCCCTGCAGTTGGTACAAGGACTGGCACTGATATTCAACTGATGATAATGGTGCATATACTGGCAATGGGAAGGAGGTGATGTCTCCATTGTCAATAGGTGGAGGAGGCCCACAATTTCCTGTTGAATCTAAGAACACAACATTTGAATGTTTGAGAAATCAAATCAAAGTACAGACTTAAACAGAACCAATGAAAGTATAATGATAAAAAGACTTTAGTGATTTCTGGCTACAGAAATGATTACTAGAAGAAATTTCAATCATTTAAACTGAGAGTTACAAGTTCGTCCTTCCTTCTTACCTAAAGCACTTACTTAACTGGAACAAGCATGTCTGCTCTGAAGTCTTAACAGCTTCTGAGCACACAGACTCCAGTGTAGACAGGTAGTGCTTCATTGTTTTGAAGACAACAGAGTATTTTTTGTTTTTCCTCTATATATTCCTGTTCTTCATTATCAGTTTTTAGCAACACATATTTGTAGGCAACAATTTAAAGCTTTTAAAGTTACAGAATGCAAAAGAGGCTTCCTGGATCCATGATAGGGGTGAAGTAAGTACAGGCATCTATATGTTATTCTTTCTAGGTACAACTAGATTTCTTGAACATAATATGTTTAGTAAACAATATAGGAACAGGGAAGATATTGATAATTCTACTTAGATTCAGGATTCAACAAAGTGTACCATGCTGTGTGATATTTGTTTCCCTTCTGGACTGCTGATTGTGCTAGTGAGGCCACAGGAAAAGATGAAAATTAAATACTGATGATATGTTCTATTGAGTAAGGCCTCAACAGGATCATCATGAAACTGAACTGAACTCCAACATTGTTTAGAAAAAAAGTGTTCAAGATTCAAAGAAAATGTCTTAGCATGAAGGAAAATGAAAAAGGTTGGGCATAAGGCACGCATGTGCATATTTAAGAGCTAAGTAAACAGCACAAGTCCCATGAAGTTCATGCAGATACATGTATTGAAACTGCTTAAAGAAAACATCCTGAAAAAAATCTTTATAAAATCACCAACTGCACTGGATCAAGATCCCAAAGAAAGTGACTTTCCATCTACTACCAGGAAAAAGGAGAAATATGACTGATAATCACAGAATACAAATGCAAATTAACAAAAAAAGAGATATATCAAACTTACTAGGAATTGTTTTACATGCAAGTGATCTGCATACAGAGATTTTAGTGGTGGACTAGGCACTTGGAGTTTCTTTATAGATATGATGTAAATTTATGCATCAGCAATATCTAGTTTCTATTCAATAGTAAGTGACTTACTGAGGTAATTTGGGAAATTTCTGTTCTGGTAAAACTAATGTACTCATAGAAAATACCTCTAGTGTGTGTGTGTGTGTGTGTGTGTGTGTGTGTGTGTGTGTGTGTATGCGTGTGTGTTTGGTTGGTTTTTGTTTTTTTTTTTTCCAGTCAGGGTTTCTCTGTGCAGCTCTAGAGTCTTTCCTAGAAATCACTTTCTAGACCAGGCTGGCCTCAAACTCCCAGAGATCCCCTTGCCTCTGCCTCCCAAGTGCTGGGATTAAAGGCATGCAGACACCACTGCCTGGTGAAAACTCCCATATTTTGAATTCAACATGTAAGAATATCCCTGGTGCATGAGCTGGCTTTCTAGAGCCCATTACCTATGGTTGGAGGCCTTGCTCATCCTTGATGCAGGGGGGAGGGGCTTGCTCCTGCCTCAGCCTAATGTACCAGGATTTGCTGACTCCCTTTTGGAGAAGGGAAAGGGGAGGTGGGTTAGGGGAGGGAGCTGGGGGGGTGAGTGGGTGAAGAGATAAGAGGGGGATCTGTGGTTGGTATATAAAATGAATAATTAAAGGAAAAAAAAAAGAAACCCTCATTGCTGCTTGCTTGCCCCTTATCACATGTGGCAGGCAGGAGAGCTGGTCCCTGGGTCATTAGAGTGGGAAAGCTGGCCCTGCCCCTCACCAGCTGTAGAGTGGTCCCTGCACCTGGCCAGGGCAGTACAGAAGAGCTGACTTTGTTGGTGTATAATGTTCTTGTAGAATGTTAGAGGGACCAGCCTTAATATTATACATCCCACGGGCTCTGGAGAAAGAACTACTAACAGCAAGGACTGTTTTCGGGGAAATAGAATCTCAGCACACAGAGCTCTTAGTCCAGTCATTTATTCTCCCAAATCTTCTCCCTATTCCGGAGCCCTGGGAGTCCCGGTATAGATACACTTATAAGCAGTCATCCCTTGGCAGTGCAAAGCCAGGCTTCCAGGGTCAAATGGAAGGGTGATAAGAATCACATAGAGGGGCAATAGTTGTTAATTATCATTTGCAACCCAAAAGGGAAGTGACTAATGGGGAAATGAATTAACTCAAGGCTAAATCTGGGTAATATTGAAGAAGAGGGATCTTATGTGCTCAACTATAGTCTTAAATGTGATTGGTAGAAAATATTAAGAATCTATAAGTTGCTAGGTCAATGGGAGAAAATAAAACTGCCTTCTTTTTTCCTGTGGCTTCTATCTGTCCAAGCTATCTGCCATTTTTCTGCAGGGTGGGCGAAAGTGTGCTTGGTCACTAGGCAACCTGTGCACAGCTAGATTCCTCTGGTGATAGTTAAAGGGAGATCTGGAACTAGAGGTAAGGTTTGGGAAAGGAAGAAGTAATGCTTAATTGGCACATCCTCCAGGCCTTCTCAAATGGGTAGTCTGGATGCTTAAGTCTGTTCTTAGAGAGTACAGAGGTATCTCTGATAAGGTACTTTCCTCCATCTGGGGATGGACCTGGTCAGATGCTGCCAATGATGATAATTACAGGGAGGCTTGAACTGGGGTTCTGGCTGAGCACAGCTGTCAGCACAGGTTATCTGAATATTCCTTTAGTAGAGGGGAAATGGTGCCCAATAAATGATGGAAAATCTACAACAGCACACAAGAAACTCATAGAAGGAAATGAATGGCTGATAATCAAAAACCAAATATCACCATGGCTCCTTGAGCCTCAGCTTGACCTCTGGAATGCCCTTGGCTACTTCTGGGTATTAGCTTTGTCATAATCAGCTGAAATCCTACTTTATATATCTTTTCAGCTTGTGGCAGACCCTAGGGCATGAGTGTAGGAGAGTTAGCCCTCCTTCTGGCATGTGGTGGCATGGGTGAGGGAAATATGCCCTCCCTACCCTCACACCTTGCCATCTGCATCAGGAGGAAGAACTGGCTTTGAGTGTATGAGAGTGGGATACATGACCCTGCCCATCACAGGCTGCTGCACTTGGGAGAGTGGACCCTGCACCTTGCCTGGGCAACAAGGTAATCCTGGCCCTCATGGTATGGATACAAGTGAGCTGGCCCTGAGGGAGTGAGAGGAGAATTGGCCCCATCCTTTGATGCCTGCTGAATTGGGTGAGCTAGCTGAGGCAGTGCTGGAGAGCTCTCCATGGTGGTGACGGTGAAGGGGAGCTCACTGGCTGACATATCCAGCTACCACCCAGGCCCAGACCCAGGACTACAAGTTGGCCCACCCCAACCACCACCCCATCTATGAACTGCTTGAGCACATGAAGGGGCCAGTCTTGTGGATCCAAATCTGTATGATCTCCATCACACAAGGCAACAACAGGATATCTACAAAGAGTCCCAATGAGGGCCCAGTATCAACAGTGTAACAGAAGTCAAAGGCCTATATGCCATGGAGTGGCAAGGGTAAAGGAAATATGCCCCCCAAGCCCTTGCCACCTGAGACAGACAGGCAGGAGGGCCAGATCAGGGGCATGAAAACAGAGAAGCTGGCTCTATCCCTCTCCAAGTGCAACAATCCAGAGAATGGGCACTGCACCTCTCTTGGGCAAAACAGTAGAGCTGGTCCTGGTGGTGTGAGTGCATGTGAACCAGAACCTAAGATGTGAGAGCAGGAAAACTGGTCCTGCTCCTTGATGTCTGCTACATGGGGTGAGTTAGCCAGGACAATGCTGGAGAGCTCTCTATGGGGGTGATGATGAGGGAAATCTGGCAGGCTGACCAACCCAGCTATCACCCAGACCCAGAACCAGGACTACAAAGTAGCCCATCCCAACATCCACGTCACCTATGAACTTCTGGAGTATGTGAAGGGGCCAAACCTGCAAATCCAAAGCTACAGGACCTCCATGACACAGACAAAAATAGAATATCCAAGAGGAGTCCCAGTAAGGATCCAGTATCAATAGATTAGCAGAAGCCAGTGCCTGGCCTTGAACCAGATCAATGACTCATTGCAATAAACACTTACAAGTAAAGATGTATGGACCAAAGGGTATATTATGTGACTCACTGGACCACACTACAGATTCAATGCTGAGAATGTTTTGTTTGGTTTGGTTTGGTTTTGATTTTGGTTTTGGATTTTACTTTAAAATTTTGTTTTTTGGGGGAGGTAGACAGGGCAGAGGGCAAAAGCAAGGGGACAGTGAGAAGAGTGGGATCAGTATGCACCATGTGAAATTCACAAGGGATCAACAAAAAGGTTTAAAAAAAGAAATGAGGAAATCTAACAAAGAAGACATTGTATTTTACTATGTGAAGATATTCTATTACACTACTCATTTACATTTTAAAGTAAATATTCTGAAAACCTTTTCTCAAATGTATTTTATCCATTTAATATTCAATAAATAAGTGAGAGGCTTAATATTAAAAGTGATGGATTTTTCCTTAGTGACAGTTATTTCTCTAATCTGATAGAAACTTGGCTGAAAAATTGCCACCATAATTCTTCATTAAGTTCACCAAAAGAATTAAAACTTTATCAATATAATTTTATTTTCATTTTCTTATCGTTTTTTGCTTGTGAGCCTATCATTTAATGGCTGAGCCATCTCTAGACAGCTCTGAGTCACCAAGAAACAAATACTGGATAGCCCAGAGTAATAGGATCAGTGCCTTGACTAGTCATCATCAGAGAGGCTTTGTCTAGGAACAGATGGGAGTGTGAGCAGAGACCCACACCCCAACATTGTGAGGAGTCTAAACTGGAGGTTTTGATTGGATCCCTTTCTTGGAGATTGAGGAACCCCACAGAAGAGGGGGATGAAAGATTGTAGAAGTGAAAGGGGATGGAGGACACCAGGAGGACAGGAATCACCTGAATCACTATATGATGGGCTCACATGGTCTCTCAGAGACTGAAGCAGCAAACACAGGCCTGCATAGGTCTGCAGCAGGTGCTCTACATATATGTTATGGCTTTTAGCTTGGTGTTTTTCTAGGACTCCAACAGTGGAGGGGGGTGTATCTCCAACTCTTTTGCCTGCTCTTGAGACTCTTTTCCCCCTATTGAATTACATTGTGCAGCCTCAATATGAGAGGGTTTGCCTTATGTTGTTGTACCTTGTTTTGTCTTGTTTGGTTGTTGTCTCTTGAAGGCCTGTTCCTTTCTGAAGGAAAATACTGAGGGAGTGGATCTGGAGGAGAGTGGATATGTGTGTGTGGTGGTGGTGGGGGAAGTAAGTTGGGTGGATTGGAGGGAGGGGAAATTGCAGTAGAGATGTATTTTATGAGAGAAGAGTCTAGGGTTGGGGATTTAGCTCAGTGGTAGAGCACTTGCCTAGCAAGCACAAGGCCCTGGATTCTATTCTCAGCTCCAAAAAAAAAAAAAAAAAAAAAAGAGAGAGAGAGCAAGAAGAATCTATTTTTAAATTAAAGGAAAAAAGAAAATTAGAAAAATGTTTATTATATGAATTACTTCACTTTACCTTCACTAATGTACAGTAACCAAATTACATTATCAAAAAAACATTAGGAAATATGATGGCCTACCTTTGCATTTTGGTGGCTCTGTCCAAACCCCATTTTGACACATCACTTCTACTTCCCCAAATAGTTCGAAAGATTTGTTACATTCATACCGTACTTTTGCATTGGGTGGATATTTATCTATGGGCCTTGTTACTATGGTAGCATTTTTCACAAGTGGTGGATCCACACAAGAATTGTTTAAGGAGCAAAGCAAAGTATCATTACCTATTTGTTCATCTTAAGATTCCAATCAACACATAAGATTCTAAATGTATTTCTCAGCAGATGAATAGATAAAGAAAATATGGCATATTTACACATACACACACAAATGAATTTATGAAATTCACAGGTCAATGGATGTTACTAGATAAAAGTCAGTCTCAGTGAGGTAATCCAGACATAGAAAAACATATATGATGTAAATTTGCTTATATGGATACTAGCTGTTAATTAAAAATAGTCAGGTTACAACCCATAGAGCAAGAGAGGTTAGGTGTACAGCAAAAGACCAGGAGAGGGAGTAGTCTCCATAGCATAGGGAAATATTATAGATAGTTATGGAACAGGGAAGGAGAGGCAAGGAACAGAATACATAGAAATACAACTAAAATTAAGCATTATTTGTGGGATATTATAGAAACATAATAAAGTAGAAACTTCCTAAAATACATACATATACGAAGACAATGTAATTGAAATAATCAAAAATGTAGGGAGACAGAGCCCCTGTGGACAACTCTTATCATCAAATGAAGCTTCTAGTACCAAAAATTGGGTTACATCTAATTGAATTAGTATCTAAAGATGTCACATGAGAACTTCCAAAACACCCAGGCTTTTGGCAAGTCTATAGGTTGTTTTACACAAACTGGAGGCAAGGACACATTGTGAAAAACAATACATTCACAACTCACTGAACACAGCAAAGTCAAGCTGGTGCCTACATATAGGATAGCATCTTTGGTAAAGGAAGGTATTTTGCATGCTACCAAAGTAGAAACATAAACACCAACCCATCCATACACCCTTGATCTATAATGGTGTTCTGTCTGCAACTTATGATAGGAAAATGGAGACACCAAACTGCTGTGGATGATTGATTGATAAATAAAACACTGATTGGCCAGTATCCAGGCAGGAAGTATAGGCTGGACTAGCAGAGAGGAGAAGGCTGGGAACAGGAAGGCTGGAACAGAGGAGATGCTGCCAGCTGCCAACAGGAAAAGATGTTAAGATACCAGTAAGTGACCACACTAGTGGAAGCCCATGAACTGTGGACTGGTGGCTGTGGAGCCCCCATGGGACTGGACTAGGCCCTCTAGATACAGAAGATGGTTGTTTGGCTCCAACTGTTTTGTGGGTGGCAGGTGGATCGGGATCTGTCCCTGTTCTATGCATAGGCTTCTGGAATCGGGTGCCTGTGGTGTGATACCTTGCACAGCCTTGGTGCAGTGGAAAGGGGCTTGGACTTGCTTAGGCTCAATGTGCTGGGCTTTGCTGACTCCCCATGAGAGACCTCAATTTGGCGGACGGCTTGGGAAAGAGGATTGGGGGTAGGAGGAGGGGGAGGGTCTAGGATAGCATGTGGAGTGAGTAGAAAATTTCTTAATAAATAAAAATGAGCCAGGTGGTGGTGGTGGTGGTGGTGGTGGTGGCGGCAGCGGCTGCGGCTGCGGCGGCGGCTGCGGCGGTGGCGCACGCCTTTAATCCCAGCACTTGGAGGAAGAGGTAGGCGGATCTTGGTGAGTTTTAGGCCAGCCTGGTCTACAGAGAGAGATCCAGGAAAAGTGCAAAGCTCCACAGAGAAACCCTGTCTCGAAAAAAAAAATGAAAAAAAAAAAAAAAAAAAAAACCAGAAAGCCACAAGCCATGGGGCAACTTATCGATGAATAAAAATGGGTTAATTTAAGATATAAGAACAGTTAGCAAGAAGCCTGCCAGGGCCATACAGTTTGTAAGCAATATAAGTCTCTGTGTGTTTACTTGGTTGGTTCTGAGCAGCTGTGGGATTGGCGGTGAGAGAGATTTGTCCTGACCGAGGGCCAGGCAGGAAAACTTTAGCTACACCAAACTTGTTGGATTGATCAAAGATTATCAAATGTAAATTAAGAGCTTCTCCATGAGTTGTAACCCATGTCTGACACTGCTTGGGTGGCCAAGAACCTGAGACTAGATAGCCCAGACACTTTATACTTCTGTGAAACCAAATATGACTCTTGTTAAAAAAAACAAAACAAAAACAAAAACATGGAGATAAAAAGATTCCACATGACCTTCTTCTATACTCTTAGATCAGTGCCTTGCTCAGCTGTCATCAGAGAAGCTTTTCCTGCTGCAGATGGGAACAAATACAGAGACCCAAATAAAGACATTATGTAGAAACCTTGGAACACTCCAAGATTTGTCATAGAATGACTCAGTCAAATCCCTCCCCATGTGGCTCAAGGAACCATGCAGAAGAGGACGTGGAAAGAGTAAGTACCAGAAAAGATAGAGGACACCACGAAAGCAAGGCCTTCTAAACAAACAAGATTGATGCACGTACGATCTCACAGAGACTGAGTCAGTATGCAAGAGCCTGGATTGGCCTGCACCAGATGGGGTTCTAGAGCTAAAAGGAGCAGGTGCCACAGGCCTACATCCCTAACCTAGAAGCATTCTCCAATTGATAACCACTGGCAGATTAACATTTAGCGTTCTGCAAGGAAGAATCACATGAGAAACAAACTACTCTTAAGGGCAGGCTGCATAAAATAAACTCAAGGACATCTTTGGAGGTTCTTTGTCTCATAATGTCTTATTAGGGCTTTCTTTTTTAAAAATCCATTTTATTTTTCCGTTTTGTTTTTGGTTTTACTTTATTTTATTTATATGTTCCTTCTTTCTTTTAATCCTAGAGGTCCTTTGCATATATATTATGGTTTCCAGTTTAGTGCTCTCATGGGATTCCTGAGTGTGGGAATGAGTGGAGCTTGTAGTCTCTATCATTCTCTTCTCTTTTTCTTCAGCCCTTTCCCCTCAGATTGTTTATTTTGTCCCATTGCAATATGATTGTTTTGTTTTATTATTCCTTAGAAGGCTGTTTCTTTTCTGATGAAAAATTTAAAGGGAATTTGTGCAGATGGAACATGAGGTGGGGAGGAACTGTGAGGAATAGATGGAACAAAAAACATAATCAGAATATATTAAGTGAGAAAAAAATCAGTTTTCAACATAAGGAGGAAAACATTGTTCAAGAATAAAATAGGTATAAAAAATGATGATAAAACAGAATATCCTAATATTGTAACAAACAAAATATCTTAATATTGTAACTGATAGAGAAAATGAGATATAAAGAAGACCTCAGTTGAAAGGTGATTATGTAACAATGTATTTACAAATGTTTATAGCCTACAGCAAAAGTTTTCAAACTGAGTTTGCCCAGAATCTCTAAGGACATTATAGATGACTCAAGGTCGCACATCCAGATGTTTTCCTATTTAAGATCTTTAGAATGAGCTTCTTAGTATTAATTTACATTTATAATATTTGGTCAAAAGATAATGATGATGCTGGCCATGGAACCACACTCTGAATATCATTACTCTATTTGCTTAGCCATTGGGTTTTTAATTCCATGCTTTTATTTTAAAAATAAAGAAATTTCAGCTTGATTTTAAAAGCTAACTTTTGCCCACATTTAAATTTTGCTAGACCTTTTTACCAGACCTCTAAAACTCTAAATACATGTTGAAAGTGCATCAAACTACCTTTGCATACCACCTCTCCAATCCACTTGTGATTAACACATGTCACAGTGTTGGTTCCATTCATATGATAAGAAGGTTCACATGTGAATGTCACTTGTTCACCTGACCTGTATGAATATTTTTCCTCTTCTTTGGGTATGGCATTTTGAAACCTGGGGAAATTGTCACAATCTGTTACTGAAAGAAAAATATATACAGGGTTTTGTTTTCAAGAAATTGTAGGATATACAATATATGAAGCAACATTTAGGTTCATAGGGACCAATAAATAGTATAGGTTTCCCATTTGACTTAGTTATATTGAATTGTTCCAACTTTATAAAAATAAATAAGGTTGGAATGACATGGGGTATAGAATACTGATAGTTATAATTATTGAGGTATTTTCATTTTGCTTCAAATTTCTTATCTCATATGAAACAATGACATATTTCTACTTTTAGGTTCACTAAATGTGAATTAATTATAGTTATTATTTAAAAACATTAGAGCATATGTATTTGTGGTGGCATTGCTACTAAAACCATCACTGTAGTGATGAGCCTCTTGAACAGAGCCAGTATTTTCTAGAAGTCTGAGGATGCTGATAGCTCAAGATACATGATATGAAAATGAAGTATAACAATGTTTTACCAGTACTGTGTTTGTCTGCCAGCATCCAGTAAAACCTTCTGATATAGCTTGAATTATATAATCTATTACACAAAGAATGAAAAAAAAAAGATACTTATGCAAGTGGGTGGCTGGATCCACTTTCCTCCTTCACATTTAATCAATGCTGGTCCATCAATTCCAAAGCCTTCAGCACAACTGTATGCCACCTCTTCTCCATGTTGGTAACTGTCTAGCTCATGAGACACAATATCATGATTGTTAGAAGGTGGAGGTCCACAGGGAAGTCCTGAAAATAACACAATGAGAGGAACAGAGTGGAATGATTCCATATTGCACTAATTCAGAAACTCACTGGCATATGTCAATTCTATGTGTAGTAGCACAAGAAGGAAATGTTAACAAGGAAGATGTTCCATCACAGAAGAGGTGGACAGTGCTTTCTAAGACCATCTTCTGTTATCTTGCATCTGCTAAACTGGTGAAACACCGAAAACGAACTTGTGTAGATGTAACCAATCGTCTTATTAAAATAAGAAACACAGAGCCAAGGTAAAAGAGAAGGCCGAGAGGTCAGAGCTCAGAGATAAAATCTTACCTCCTGCAGTGCTCCTAGCTTCCCCGAGAGAGAGCTACTTCCTGTTTGTCCGTGTTTAAATATTCTTTCTGTTCTACCTTCTCATTGGTTGTAAACCCAA